CACTTACTAAATTAAGGAAGAGGGATTTGAAATGGGAGAAATAAAGCCAAGTTGTTAAAAATTAACGGGGATCATTGGAAAATCAATATTACTGATAATAGTAGGTTTGTTACGCTAGATTTATTGTAAGTAAATGCTTTTGTTTTGTAGAAATGATATTTTTGTATGGTTTTGGCTTCATTTATCAAATTCATTTGATACTTTTGTAACTTAATCTTTGTGTATTGGCATGGATTATCTGAATATATATGAGTTGTACATTATATATTCCACTCTCAAATAAGTTTGGAAAAATTGGTAAAAATAATCTCAATTTTCACGTATTTGTTTTAAATAATTCCAACTTTGGATTATTATTAAATAATCCGAACTTTGGAGTGTATTTGCTTTCTTTGGTCTCTAACCAGTTACTAACCTGTTATAATAGGTTAAGGTGACATGTGTCATCATGTGATTGGTTGAAATTTTAAGAAAAAAAGTAAAAAAAAAAAAAAACGCTCACCTCCACCCACAAACCACCTTCCCCACCACCACCGCGGCGGCCAAAACCCTCTTCCCTACCCACGCGCTGGCCAAAACCCCCTCCCTCGCGCCAATAGCTCCCCTTCCCCCAAAACCACCAAACCCGCCCACCTAAAACCCCTGAAATCCCACCCACGACCACCCAAAATCCCTAAATCACCTCCCCCACCGCATAAAACCCCCCAACTGCCCCTCCCCCATCATCAGAACCCTAGTGCTAGGGTTCCAATGGTGGGGGAGGGGCGGCTGGGGGTTTTTATGCGGTGGAGGAGGTAATTTATAGATTTTGAGAGGTTTTGGGCTGTGAGATTGGTGGTTTTGGGGAAGGGGCCCCGACTTGGGCTATGCCAGCGTGGGGGAGGGGGTCTGAGCGCAGCAGGCTGAGTGTTAGGGACTTGGGCTAGGCGGTGGGAGGAGGGACGCCAGACGTGGGTGGTGGCGTGGTTGTTGTGGGTTGGGGCTGGGTTTTTTTTTTTTTTAATCTTTTATATATTTTCAACCATTAACATAATGACACGTGTCACTTAATTGTAAAAAAAAAAAAATTACCAGTTTAACAGGTTACCGGTCACTTGGGACCATTTTGACCCTCAAAGTTCGGATTATTTAAAAATAATCCTAAGTTGGGATTATTTAAAGGGAATACGTGAAATTTGGAATTATTTTTACCAATTTTCTAATAAGTTTTGGTGTCCCAAAGCCTGATTACATTGTTTTCATTTAATTTGTTAATTTTTTGGTTAAATTTTTTGCCAAGCCCTCGTGAACATGTTTTGAGCTCGAGCCGAGCTCCATATCTCAGGCTCGACGAGCTTCAAGCTCGAGCCAAGCCTGTGCTCACCATTGTCGAGCTCGAGCCGAGCCTACAAAGGTTCGGTCTCGACTTGGCTCGTTAACACCCCTAGTTGGAAGGATCATTTTCTTAGAATTTAATCTCTCCATTTCTCTCTCCTGTAACTCCATTCATCCCTAATTTTTTACCCGAATGAAAGAAACTCCTTTCCTCCATTTTCTTTCTCTTCCTTTCCCCTATTTCCTTCAATCCAAACACACTCTAAGGGACAACAATCATGATTATAATTTTGATATGGAAGCACATAAATAACACTTTAAAATTTGACACTAATTCGGTAATTCTTCATAAAAAATAAAAAAAAATAAAAAACAAAAACCTTCAAAATATGTCGTCAAAATTTGAAAATTTTGACATTTGCTACCCATCTAAATTTTTATGGAAAAATTGGGAATAATCCCACCTTTGGGCCATTCGTTTTTAATAACCCCACCTTTGAGATATTTTTTAATAATCTGACCTTTACCCCCCATTCTTTTTTAATGGTCCCAACCGGTCATGTAACCTGGTACAACAGGTTACATGACACGTGACGGCCTGTGATTGGTCAAAAATTAAAAAAAAAAATTAAAAAAAAATCAATTAAAAAAAACCTTTAAAAAAAAAAAAACTTTCATACCCCTCCTCCTTCCCCAGCCACCCCTTCCTTGGCCCGCCCTCCCTTCCGACCACCCTCACCTCTCCTCTTACCCCAGCGCACCTGCTGCCCCTCCCCTCCCCTCCCTTGTCCAGTTTCTGACCACCCCTACCCCTACCGCACTTGCTGCCCCTCCCCCCTCCTTTTTCAATATCCGGCCATCCTCACGGTTGAAGGCGAAGGCGAAGATGAAGATGATGTTGCAAGGGTGAGATTTGAACAATTTGAACAATTTTTCTGGGTTTTTGTTTGTCAAGGGTGGGATTTGCGTGGGTGGGCTGGCTGGAAATCGATAAAGTTTTTAGGTGGGTGGCCAAAAATCGAAAAGGTGTTTGGGGGTAGCCGGAAATCAAGAAGAGAGGGGAAGGGAAGGGTCGAGGTGTTCGGAGAAGGAATGAGGAAAAGGTGCAGTGAAGGGAGCTGGGGGTTGGGTGGCCGGAGCCGCGGGGACGGGGACGGGGGAGGCTGGAATCGTTGTTGGTTTAGGGGAGGGGTTGGCTGGGTTTTCGGGGGAGGGTCTGGGGTGTTGGTGGTTTAGGGTTAAGCGGCGACGGCGTTGGATGGTCGAAATCGGGGCGGGGGAAGGAGGGGAGGTTGGTGGGGTGGTTTTGGGGTTCGGGTCTGGTGGGGATGGTGGTTCTAGGGTTTGGGTTTGGGTGGTGGTGGGGATGGTGGTGGCTGAATTGGGTTTGGGTTTTTTAATTTTTTTTTTACCAATTATGTAATGACACGTGTAAATTAATCTTTTTTAAAAAAAAATTACCTACTCAACCGGTTCCAGGTAAAATGGGACCATTAAAAAAGAATGGGGGCTAAAGGTCGGATTATTAAAATATATCTCAAAGGTGGGATTATGAAAAACGAATGGCCCAAAGGTGGGATTATTCCCATGAAATTTTTCCAATTTTTATTTTATTTACTACTAGAAGCCCCACAAAAAAAAAAAAAAAGGGTTTTGCTATCACTTAACAAAATTGGTTACTATTTCTCTTAGTGGGGACCATCCACCGTCCAGCCACCCTTAGTGCCATCCCCCAAACAATCTTCCGGCGCCGTCGACCCCACCTGTCTCCCCTTTTACTAACACCGCTGATGCTTCCTCCCTCCTCTAACCCTAACTCCTCTTTCTTCCAACACCGCTGCTGCTTCCTCCCTCCTCTAACCTTAACTCCTTCTCTCTCTTCTAACTTCATCCCTCAACACCGCTGCTGCCACCAAAGCGCTTATCTCTCCACCATGAACACACATAACCACCACCCATGCCGATTATGCCACCATCACTCCGCAGCTAGTAAATCAACCCTCGTTCACCACCATGGCAGCCCCTTCAAACACCATTAACCCTCGCTCACCACTAAGACAACCCAAATTGAGACCCATACGCTGCAATTTGGGTTTTAGGGTTTCGTTTTCACCCATTTAGGGTGGTTTCGGGGCAGCGTGGGTGGGGGAAATGGAGGAGGTGGGGTCACCAGCGTCGAGGGAAAGTTTAGGCACTGACACGAGGAGGGGGGAGGGTGGCTGACGGGGAGGGGGAGGTGGCTGGATTTTTATTTTTTAGTTTTTTCTTTTTTATTTTAAATATTAAATTAGTATTTAATGAAATAATGGGCCCCACTTAACGGAACCCCAACAAATTCTGTTAAGTGGTAGCAATAACTATATTTTTGGATTTGGGTGGTAGTAAAATAAAAAATAAAAAAAAAAAATTAGATGGGTAGTGTTTCGGGGTTTTCTAATGTCCTGCGGGAGAGTTACAATTCCGAGACTGGAACCGGACGCCTGTACCTGCAAAATAACGGAGACTCCTGAGAGCTCCGCCTCCAACGGTCAAGTTAGTACCTGATTAAGGAGTAATTAATACGGAAATTAAAGTAATAAGACCTCTCTAGGTGAGAGTGTTTAATGTTGGTAATCTGCTTTGTTAGCGAGATTAGCCGGTTATTAATGTTCCGTAACGTCTCTGTTCTTCAGGTGAGATTAACTGCTTGATTAGTTGCTCTCTCAATTGCTTGATTGCCTGATGTTTTCTTGACTGCCTAATTAATGAGGATTAATTAAGTATTTATAGCCTTGAGAAGCGTGCCACTCTCTAGGTTTAGGGTAAACCTAGGGCTGACCGGGCCTCTAGACAGGATTGGGCCTTGATGGCCGGTTTTCCCATTTGGCATGGGTGGACACGTGGCGTGCCTCGATTGGTCCGTAGAGGACGTATCTGTGATTGACACGTGGCAGGCTCCTATTGGCCTTCGTGAAGGACACGTGGCGGAACCTGGTTGGTCCACTTGTCAGACGGTGATTGGTGGATAAAAATCCCCTAATCAGGTAGCAAATGTATTTTAATGGTAGCAAATATCAAAGTTTCCTCAAAATTTCGAAAAAAACAAGTGTATACACTAATATACTGTACATTAATTTCAAATTATAGTTAACAGAGTTAAAAATCAAAATATAAAAAAATATGTAGATATAAGAAAAGAATGAACTGTAACCAATAAAAAATAAAGGCGATGTTAATATTTTGGCCCATTTATAACTCGGTCAATCAAGAAAAATATAAGTCATTAAAATTTCATAAGTCTAGACAATTTACCATTTTAGACGTTTCATATAATATTTTTAGCATCTCAACTTTTGAAATGTAAATTAAATTTTTTAAACATTTCATACGTAGAGTTATTGGTAAATACTATTTTTGTAGAAATTTATATACTAGGTGGATGAATCAAACGCCGTCATAGTTAGTTAAAAGCTTCAAAGATGGAGTAGTACACAAAATCTGATATCAAATCACGTCTAAATAATTTGCCCTTGTGTCTCGTGGCTGAACAAACCATCCCAGTTTTCAAAAATTGATTGTGGCACAACACGAATTGATTTTGACAAATCCCTATGTAAGAACTAAGATGAGTATTGAAAACTACATTCTCACATAAATATTTGTCAAAATCAATTTTGATGTGCCACAATCATTTTCCCCAATTCCCCACCCCAAACTTAGAAATATTAGAGCCTTTTGCTTAGCTCCCCCAAACAAAAAGCAACACAAGGTTAAAATTTCAGCTATATATACCCTCAAAAAATCAGTTAACCAGATAAAATAATCAAAATCAAAGCAACAATGTCACTCCTCCATAGCAACTTCTGCTTCAACTCACCTCTTCCCTTCAAACCCAGAAAACACAACAATAATAATCTCCTCTCATTCTCATCCTTCTTTCTCTCTCCTCCAATGTCTAGAACATTCAGGAACCTTCCATTTATAGCTTCTTCGTTAGAGAATCCTCTGCAACCGGTTTCACTTGATCAAATTACTCCGCCTTTATCATCACCGTTGATTTCAGCTACTGATGTTGTCAGAAATTTCTATGGAGGAATCAACCGCCATGAACTTGCCGTGGTTGAACCCTTGATTTCTGAAAGTTGTGTTTATGAGGATCTTATCTTTCCTCAACCCTTTGTTGGTCGCAAGGTAATTTTTATTTGATTTATATAACAAATTATTATGGAGTATTCAAATTCATCATTATTTATTATTCGCTTATGGTTGAATTGTGAGTAAATATGATTTTGTTGAGTGATTTTTATGTGGACATTATTGCATTGATTAAGGCTTAATTGTTCTCATACTACCTCCGTTTGTGATTATGTACACTAAATGAATAATTTATGTCTCTGAAATAATACTCTTTTGTTGCACATAACAAGAAACGGATGTAGTAAAAGTTATTTGTATTCGATTTTTATGTGAAAAATAATAACCGTTGAGACAGGAAGAGCTTTTAAAGACGGGGGATTTTTTTAATTTATACAAATTGGAAATTTTCGTTTCATTGATGATGGATTTTTTTTTTTTCAGTGTAGGGCATCTAACTATAGTTAGAGAAGGAATATGTTAAGGGTATTTAAGATTTGACATATACTGATAAGAATTTACAACATCTAACCACGGTAGGTTGGAAATGCCTAGGGTGTACACCTCGGTGCATGTAAGAATTTGTACTTCGAATCAAGTTTGATGGAAAAATATTCTTAAATGGATGGAAATGCCTAGGGTGTACACCTCGGTGCATATAAGAATTTTTACTCAGAATAAAGTTTGATGGACAAATATTCGTAAATGGATGGAAATGCCTAGGGTGTACACCTCGGTGCATATAAGAATTTGTACTTAGAATCAATTTTGATGGATATATATTCGTAAATGGATTTTTAGTCCATTTTCAAGTGTATGTAAAAAAGTTATTGTTGTTCTTTGGAAAAATTAGTGACTATTTTGGGGGAAAAAAATGAATGACTCTTAACAATGAAAGACTCTTGAATAAGGGGTCAAAGAAAGAGAGAAGGGAGACGAGGGGAAAGATGGGAAGGAATTGTCTTATATTTTTCTTCCAAATGTTTCCAGTATCGAAGAATTTGATTTAGTTAAAGGGGAAGGGAAATTAACTATTTTTTCTTTTTTCTTTCCTGGATAGGGGTAAGATTTTTTCGGATTTAAGGCGAAAACCAAACATTCAGGGGTGTAAAATGCGCTACAAAAGTTATGTGCCACCTGGTTGTTCTATTCGAATGCACTTCTAGCCCTTATTTGTGATCAGTAGAGATTTGTGTTTGTTGTTTAGTAGTTAGTCCTCTGTTACAATTTTTAGTTTATTATTAACGTGTCAGATTGCTTCATGAGTCAAACTGAGACATGCTAGACCCTTATCAATTGATACTTTTCTGGGGTAATTCAAGTCATTTATGCCTTTTCTGAGTTGCTCGTAGACCCTTGAAATTATACTGATTAATACATACATTTGTGGGGGTAATTCAAGTCATTTATGCCTTGTTGCGTTGCTCATAGACCCTTGGGAATCATACAGATTAATACATACTTTTGTGGGGTAATTCAAGTCATTATGCCTTTTCTGCGTTGCTTATAGACCCTTGGAATCATACTGAATAATACATACTTTTTTGGGGTAATTCAAGTCATTATGCCTTTTCTGCGTTGCTCATAGACCCTTGGAATCATACTGATTAATACTCACTTTTGTGGGGTTTTTCAAGTCATTTTGCTTTTACTGTGTTGCTCATAGGCCCTTGAAATCATACTGATTAATGCATACTATTCTTGAAGCATAAAAATAAAAATATTATCGTGATTCGTGACAACTATCTACTTATACCCTACAAATTAACAAGCTCTGTCCTAGACACCTTAAAGAGACGTATCAAAATCACAAAATGAATCTGTAATTCTTCCTGGCTCCATTTCTTGCTGGTTAATCTCCTACCTTATTACACCAATTTCTCAGCCTCCATCTAAATGTTGAAAATCATCTAATATCCATCAATCTTTCCCTTTGTACTTTTTTTTAGCTATCTTAGGACTTTTATTGAGCAATTTCAAAATTCAATTTATTTTGAGGTATGATGAATTCCTGGTGTGTATTGACTATGAATTGGCCTTTAAAAAATGTCATTTACAATGAAGTTACCCTTATCCAAGTTCATAAGATTAATATGAATAATGAAGAAGGACCTCTGATAATTGGTAATCTCTTCTAGTCCTGCTTACGAAACCTGCTGGGCATGTTTTGCTTAGTGAAGTACCACCTTAGTTACATAACTAAATTCCCTAGTAATAAACTTTGGCGCTTGTTCAAAACATGAAGAATCCTGGGAACTGTGACTCTGAGTCTCTTCTAAAATATAAGGCAATGGAATATATTGTGGGCTAATCTCATATCTTACTGTTTCTACTTTGTAGTCAAGGTGCATCTAACAATTGACTGCTGAGAGCCTGAGAGCATCCACATTGGTAGGAAAATAAGCTCCCCATTTGCCAAAAAATGGAAATGGGGACCTTCCCACCAATGTTACTCCTTTCCCATTTGATAAATATTTTTGGGGAGGTTAATTTGATGGGAAGCCTCCCAAAAATTCAGGTGGGCCCAATTTGCACACTTGGTGGGGTATGGAAAGTAGGAGAGAGAAAAGGTGGTGAAGTATGGAAAAATAGGAGAGAGAAAATAAATGGGGAGGTTAATGAATGTAGGTATGGAATTGTAAAATGAGAAGGGTATGTGATAAAGTTAGTGGAGAGTGATGTGGACTAATGAGGTGAGGAGAGAGAAATTATGGGGAGCCCCATGAATGTTGATGTTCTGACACAGCTATTCAGCTTTTACTGACTTTAATTAATGTGTGCTTGTTCACCTTGTTGGATAACAATGATGGTTCAAGGATGCTACATGAGTATTTTCTGATAAATTATACAATCTATGGGTTAAGAAGGTTCTAGAATGCTATCAAATAGATTTACATGTTTAAATGGTATAAAAGAAATCGTCCTTTAATTTATAATTCACAACTTTTATCTATGATCTTATCAAAATTGTCAATCCCATCTTTGTATTTCTTTCTTTAAGAAACTTCACATTTTACTTTTTGGTTTCCACAGTCTATCCTGGAGTTTTTTGGGAAATTCATAGATTATGTCAGCACAGATTTGCAGTTTGTGATTGATGCTATTTCTGAGGAAGATTCGTCGGCTGTCGGTGTGACATGGCATCTGGGTATTTTGGGAGTTATTTGAATTGTTGTTCTTCTTTCTCTTCCTATGTTATTTGATACAATTGGATGCAACTCACTGAAGAAATAATGACAGAATGGAACGGAAGACCTTTTCCATTTAGCAAAGGTTGCAGCTTTTATCAATTGAAGGTAATCAATGGCGTTCGACAAATAATGTAAGTATCTTTTTTACTCTTTTTTGATAACTAGCTGATCATATAATCCTTATTGTCTGTGTCATGATCTAATCTAGTCTATGCTACTTGGATTTGGGTTCTATGTCTGGTATGCATCTAAGTGTCCTACTCGACTATATTGTAAAAAAAAATCCATAAATCTGGTCTAAAATTAAGTATCCACGTCCTACCCATGTCTTAGTGGCGAGTGTCCGAAACGAGTAGAGGCGAAATGAAGAGTTCAAGTAACATAAGATCCAGTTTTTTTTTGTTTCCATCTAGTAGAGGTGAAATGAAGAATTTAAGCAAACATATTGACAAACATATTGTTATTGTCATAATCTAATCTAATCAAAGCAAATTAAAGCAAACATATTGAAAGCAATAATCAAAACTAAGCAATAAAAAGATTTAGAAAATTACCAAACGAAAGGAAATCTAAACTTGTAATTATGAAAGCTTGTATTCAACAATAATATTAAGAGTGCTCTAAAACTAAATTCTCTCTAAATACTAAAACCGGAAATAAATTAATGAAAAGTGTACTTGAGGATTCTCTAAAAAAACGAATTTGAACAATTCTCCAAAAGAATAAAAATAAAATGTAATAAAATCTATCTCCTGAGACACGTGCCCAATCGGGCCCGCCGTTTTCTTGCTCGCTAAATTCTCTCGCCCGCCCGATCGGGCGGTAGTGCATCCCTATCGGGCCCTGTGCCTTTATTTCACTTGGACCTGCTTTTGACTTTTGACTTTGGCCTTTTTTGACTTGAGTCCAATGCCCTCCGTAAATTCGTAGCAATAATTCGGACCCCTTCACAATTGAGCCCTTAATCACCAAACCAAAATGCTTAAGCTCGGTCTTGGGCATCAAACATCTTGGTCATAGAATGCGGTCTGACTCTAATATCTTGTAGCGGCTCAATAAGCTAGGGAATCACCGAAAATACGGAAATTCCTACAAAACTCTACAAAACACTAGAAAACGCATATCAATAATAAAAATAGTTTTGTATAGATCAAATAAGTACAAAAATGACAGTGGGACGAGGAATAAAATCGTATATAAATGCACATATCAGCTATGAAATACATGCATACTTTTCTGAGCCTGATGTCCGTACATTAGGTACCCTCCTTATCCAGGAAAATTGGAATGACCCACCAACATGTTTTCTAAGGGTGATCATAGGCAAGGAGACAACAATTTTGGGCAGAATCTTGTTGAAAGCTGGGACATCACTATTACAGTTAACGAATCTTGGCATAAGCAGTCTGGTACTGCCGGTCTGGTGTGGCCTTTTTCTACTGTTGTGACCAATTTCTTTGATGAGGGGGTGCTTACTGTAGGGTAATCCTTGGCTTGTCTTCATGCTCTTCGATGGGCTCTAGCTTAGGACTACCATCGAATAATCCTATACTCTGACTCAACAACACTGGTTTACTGAGGGAGAATAAGAATACAATGATCACCTTGTTTTGGCCCTTAAAGAGGAGAATGGGAGTCCTCTTCCAAAGTTATATCATATGGAAGGTAGACAGTGTCAACAGGGCATATAAATTGGCAACTGGTTGTAGACTTAATTTTATGAATTTTACTAGTACGTAGTTTGTATTTCCTGTTGTCAAAATATAAAAAAGTAAAACATATAATATTAAGAAACTAAAGCCAGCTTATGATTCTTAAAAGCTTTAGGGTGATGATATGTACAATTTCGAATAGAATTATGTTAGGGAATTGGGGGTGAGTGCTTGTTTGGGGTAACTATGAAAGAATGTGTACTAGGTATCCATTGCTTTTTTTTTTGTAGAGAAAGTGACTTTTTCGCATGTTTACCACTTTGAATGTTTTCTGTTTATAAAACAGCTATGCTCGAGACAGTGTGGAACCTGCAATTAAACCTGGAGAATCAGCTTTGGTAAGTTATAAGTTGATGCATCTATTCAACTGATCTATTAATCTTAAGTTTCTTTTACATCACACCTCACTATATTGACCAAATCATCATTTTAACCTAACCAATCTGCTTTATTGAACCTTAACTGAGGCACTTATACCTCATACGGTCATACCTGTTACTAGTCCCTCGAGAGTGTAGCTCTCCTGAAGTGATCTTCCAAAATCCGTGACCTTGTGGATTTAGTACATTCCTTTGGCAGCCTAAAAGTGGGCTGGGTGAGAATTGCTATTAAGATATTGCTCTTCCCTTCTATTTAATGATTGTCTACATAGTATTACAGTAAAATTTATTCTGAAAGTTATGGTTCTAAACAGACTGCAATCAGAGGTGTTACATGGCTGCTGCAGCGATTTCCAAAGCTTGCAGAGCGGTTTTAATAAATGACCATGGAATCACCATACGAGTTTGGAGTGATTTTCATGTTGGTCTTGCAACATTTTGACAGAAACAGAGTGCAGGGACTGATGCATGCTCTGAAAGCAATTCCTTGTATATTGCCAATATTGATGAACATAATTAGGTTTGTAATTGGTCATATACCACCGTCATTTTGTATCTTTAAAAAGTGAGAAAGGGGGTGTATGGTGAGGTAGAAACCCTTATAGATCTTCATGAAACATTTTGCATTGTAATTCTTATGTACATTGCTCGTATTAGATCACAACTGTAAAGCGTAAACCATAACAGAATTTGTACATACTGGCATATTCTAGTCTTTTATATACGTAGTATATTGGTTGAGTTCTTTCATCTTTCTTTTCTTTTTATATCTTGTTCGCTTCTGTTTGTGCTATGTTAACCTTCAGTAGAGACCACATTCATCGCTTTTATGTATCAGGGGCCATATATGTTGCTTTGCATATTCTAATCATGATCGCCTTTTCGTTGATTCTACTTCTATGATCAACTCTTACTTTTAGTAACAACAAATTTGAAATATTCAATTCAATCTAGTCTATCTTTATAAATATTTCTGGAGTTATGTTTAGTGTAGTAGTGATACCAAATGGTTTAAAGTTGAGAAATGAATCCAAGCATTCCAAGAAACGCAACGATATTACACTGAATATTAGGCAGTGCTAAGCTATTCAAAATATACACTTGAGCAAATACCCTTGGCTCTGTGAATATCAATGTATGTTAAGGTTCAGTGAACGTCATAATAATACTCCCTCTATTTCCATTTGTTTGCCCCATTTACCATAAAAGGGTATCCTTTATAATTGATTCATACTCCCTCCGTCCCATATTATAATTCCTACTTTTCTATTTTGGGAATCCAAAATGTTGTTTCTATTTTTGGATAATATGTAAAAACCATTATACCCTCAATTTTTTTTAAACTTTATTCATTGAACTTCCTAATTTACCCTTAAATTATCCACTTGTTTTGTACTTTTTTCCACTCTCTCTTTCTAACTTTTGTCTATAATTGTACTTTTCACTTTTCCCCCTTAAATTATCCACTTGCCTTTAATTTACTTTTGTCTAGCTTTTTTCCACCTTTAATTTACTTCATCCACTTTTTCCTCCCATTTCTTAAATACCGTGAAAAAACACAAACATGAACTTTATATTTGAACGGAGGGAGTACTATATATGTCTAGCTTAAATTTTCCCCCTTAAATTATCCACTTGCCTTTAATTTACTTTTGTCTAGCTTTTTTCCACCTTTAATTTACTTCATCCACTTTTTCCTCCCATTTCTTAAATACCGTGAAAAAACACAAACATGAACTTTATATTTGAACGGAGGGAGTACTATATATGTCTATAGAGACCACAATTTTACTCTCACAACATTAATTTAGGTCCCACAATTTTTCGAGAAATTCTCTGCCTCTAATAATTTAAGTCATGAATAACTCTAATAAGGCCCCGTTCACTTCACCTTATTTTTGCTGAAGTGAAATTATTTTTACTGAAATTAAATTATTTGTACTGAAGTGAAATTAATTTTATTGAACTGAAATTATTTTTACTGAATCTCTATTATATTTCTTCTTTACAATGATTGATTTTTACTACTGAAATTAATTTTACTGAACTAAAATTGTTTTTATTGAACTGAACTTATTTTTATTGAACTGAAATTATTTTTACTGAATATTATTTGTTTAAGGTGAAGTGAACAGGGCCTAACACGGTGTTAGTGTTGAATTGTGCTTAGATGGTACCGTCTAAATACAACAAGTAATTATATCGATACCAACAAAGCAGTTTTACATTTGTTGGTACTTTTGAATAAGTATTTTGGTATCATGATAATACCATCTAAAATATAATTTAATACCAATGCGTGTTATTAAATTCAATGACTCAAATTATTATAGGTAGAGAATTCCTCCAATTTTTCAATTTAATCAATTCTACCCAACTAAAACTTAAAAAAAGCACAATATAAGTATGGGGACAAACAATTAGGGATGGAGGGAGTATAATATATACGCCACTTCGTATCAAATATCAATTGTGTTTTTGTTTGAGTATTCAAGAATTTGAACAGATTAGCACTCATTTAAAAGTGCATCTGAAAAAATGTTGGATCCTCTTGCATTAGGGTGGATGATTCAAGAATGATCTGGTCTCGACTTATACATCCAAATATTTAAATGCCCATCTAACCAGACTCATTTGAAAGTGCATCGGAAAAAAAAAATTGTTGGAAAGTTTTACAGAGTAATTTTCAAGCTAATAACTCATTTTCAAGTTGCTTTTCAAATAAGAATAATAATAACAATTATAAATAAAAATTATGATCTGCTTTTTTGTACGGTGTGTAATGAACTAATGATCAAACTTCTGCAATTATTAAGTGGAAGATACAAAATAAATTAAGCAATGAATTTCCTGATACATGCTATTAAAATTTCCTATGCGGCTTTATGCACAAAAGAATGCCTACTGTAAACTTAACATTAACAAGATGTAGAAAAACTTCTCCGTTTGCAGCATAGATTCTCTAATCCATTATGCGCCTCATCTTGTGTCACTCTTTTTTTTAAACGCCCCAAATCATCTCCATTAACCAATGCATTATATTTTCTGGTTTAAGTTAGTGATGTGTCGAGACCCTAACAAGGACACAATGAGAAACTAGTTGAGACCCTCAAAGTTGCGTCGTGAATCCTTCAAACGAAGGAGACAGAATTTTGAAGAGTCCATCTGGGTTATCAGTATGTACCTATCAACGTAACAGAAGATTAGCCAACATGAGATTAGAACACAAACAATGAACACACATACTAAATCATAAACAGGAAATTATTATTTCAAAGATTAAAAATCTCACAACAAAACATTAGTGATGCTGGTACAAAACATCCAAAAAGACACTGCAGAGCAAATAAATTGAGAAGAGATCGACGAAGTTGACAGAAACTGATAGTCTTGGTAGTAATGCTCATACTATAGATATTGCCTATCATTACAGCTCGAGTAAACTGTTTCACAAAAGAAAATACTATTCTACAAGCACTACAGAAAGAAACTACTACTGCAAGCTCTTCTGAGTAAAATGTACCACAGCTAGCTTTTTCGTAGATTCATATGTACCCAAATAAGGTTATAGTTTTGCAAACAAGCCATGTGTTCATCAAAAACATCATTCATTTTCCAATAAAAATCTTTAGTGAGTAGAGAAACATATGAATTAATGTACATTTTGAAAAGATGACGGAACTAGTAAAAATTAGTAGCAACTTGCAAGATATAAAATATACTTGAAATATGTGGCCAGAAGAAAAAACTGAAGCCTCAAGTACACTTTTTAAGAAGTTCAGAAACTGTAATAAGATGTTAGTCAAGAGAAGAGGACAACAAGTTGATTCATTATGATTTATCAATAAGCCGGCAGTTTATATGAATAGGTTTAAGAATAAAATTTTGTGGCATGTGACACACATGGATACTTCCTTTAACATTAAGCTGTAAAATATTTTCAATACAATGTTTCAAAATATAATCACAAGTTAATTTCTCAAGGTGTTGCTAACTTGAAATAATTTTCAGCTCTAATAATGGAAACTTAACGACCTGATTATCTGACCCGAATTTCCCAACCCAAGACCCAAAACAGTGACCCGGAACTCGACTTGAAACCTGACCTGACTCGACGTGGAATTCACCTGCTTTTGACCCGATACTTGAAGTGACCCAACCTAAAGGTTACCCGACACCCAAAATGACCCGACCCAATATTAATGCGAATTAATTGACCCAAAACAAAAATTATCTGATACTCAAAAGACTCTAACCAACATTAAGCAATACCCACATAACCTCAACCGGTTTCAAATCAAATTAATCAACCCGAACAAACCTGAATAAAAAATAAACTAAACTAAACTGACTTGATTCTTCTATAATTTTTTATTTTGTAACATGTAAGTGCAAAAATTGTATATTTTGAATATTTTTTTTTTCATTGATCTTGAAATCATCAAATAGGTCTAATCTTGAAACAACCGAATTTATTATTTAAATTCAAAATACTCGAATGTTCAAAAGTTGACCCTACCTGAAATGACACAATTCAAACTTGACATGAAAATTACTCGACCAAACCTGAAATGACTCGATCCAAATTCAACTTGACCAGAAATGATCCGAACCTCAATCCGAAATCCGAGCCGACCCGGACTCGAATATAGTCGAACCCCAAATGACCAGACCTCGAAAATCATTTCCCTCTTTTTCGAAGTGATTTTCCTCCTATCCAGTTTCTTCTATTGCAACTCCATTTAAAGTATCCCTATCGGTTTATCCCACATGGCCACATGTATAGTAACTCTTGTTAAGTCAACTAGGATAAGGACAATCCTTTCGAGATAAGGAAATAACAATGGAGGGGGAGAGCTTTGGAAGAGAAAGGGTAAACACTTGACAACTCAACTCAAAAGTATCCCTATCCATGTTTTAGGACCATGGGAATTTTCCACCTTCATAAAGTCTTAGAGCTGTATATATGGGCTAAGCAGCAAAATCAGAGTCATATGTTCTTTTAAGCAAGTTCCAGAAACTATATAAACAGAAAAGTAACATTATTGCCTTATACTTCCTCCGTATCTTTTTAGTTGACACGTTTCTTTAGTCACGTTTGCCAATGCACAAATTCAACCATTAATATCTTTAATTACCGATCAGCAAAAATTATGAAAAGTTAATATTTTGAAAATATATATCATGACGAATCTAACAAGATCTCACATGACTATATTTTTCATTACGTACAAAGCACAAAACACGGTCAAAGGGGAGTGTGCAAATAATTCTAAACTCAAAACGTGTCAACTAAAAAGACATGGAGGTAGTACAAAACAAAAGATACTTGCTTCATGTCATCATGTTCAGATTTAGAGCTTGTTTGGTTGACAAAATAAAATGGGGGAAGGGAAAAATCATAAGAATTGGCAAATTGGATACTTGTTTGGTTGGCACAAAAAAAGAAAAAAAAAAAGGAGGAAGTTGGAATTCAAGGGTATTTCAACTTTCCACAAAACATAGGAAATTAATTACCTAGGTTCCCCTTGGTCAATCAAAATTCTTGGGAATTTCAACTTCCCATTGTCATACCCAAACAACTTTGTGAAATTCCTAGGAATTTCATGAGGAAAATAACTTTCCATGAAATTCAACTTCCTACGGGAATTTATTTTCTGTGTCAACCAAACGAGGCCTTAATATTAGGATTATCAGCCTTGCAGAAAAATTCATCAAGCAACCCAAAAAAAAAAAAAGAACAATCTACA